TCTCTCTCTCTCTCTCTCTCTCTCTCTCTCTCTCTCTCTCTCTATCTCTATCTCTCTATCTATCTATCTTTCTATCTATCTATCAGATGGGATCTGATCCCATTGGGTGGAATGCAAAGATCCCAGGCTGGGACCAGCACAGGGAGAAAGGATCCCAGAGTAGACTCAACGTTCACTATCTGTCCATCTCCCTATAGCTCCCAGAATGGTGATGAAGGAGGCACCTGGCCCAACAATCAATTTGACACAGAGATGCTTCAGGCAATGATCCTGGCTTCTGCCAATGGTGAGTTATGTGCTAGGGGGAAGGAGGGTGAGGAGAAGGGGAGAGGAAACAAAATAAAATGGGAGGGAGCGGTTGGTGATGATCACAGAATGATGTCTTTCAATGGAAATTAGAGTCTTGGCTGGGGTCTCAAAACTAAGTCCCAAGGTAGAGATAGAGCACTGGACTTGGTATCAGGAAAACCTTAGTTTACATCCTACCTTAAACAATTACTAGTTTTGTGATCCTCAACTTAATCTTTCTCTGTGTCAGTTTTCTCATCTAAAAAATGAGGGTAGGAGTTGAAGGTCACTAAGGTCCCTTCTACCTCTCAATGCTATTATCTGTAATCTATGTTTGAGTCAGGCTACAGACACACGGTGTCTTTCTGGAGTCCTAGTGTATAGAAAACGAGATTGGAGTCATGCCGTGCCTTGGCTCCTTGCCTGCCTCTAGCCCCGGTACCCTGGGCTCAGCCATGCCCCTGTGCCTAACTCCTACAAGACAGGAAGAGGGCCATGACTGCTTTTTCTAACAACTTCCCAGGGAAGTGCTAGTATTTACTAAATTTACTAAAATTACAGTTTAACAACTGGTTTTGGGGGAGGAGAATGGCAGGAGGAAAAATGTCCCCAGGACACATTTTAAAGTTTAATCGGTATCATTAACATTTTCTTCATCACTTTCTTAAAGTCTAGACCATCAACAAAACAATAAACCAATCTCTGATTTGTAGTGTTTGCCAATTGCCTGGGTGTAAATGCTCATGAGCAGCTAGATGGCCTAGTAGATAGAGCTCCTGGGCTGGAGTCAGGAAGACTCATCTTGGTGAGTTCAAATCTGGCCTCAGACACTTACCAGCTATGTGACCCTGGGCAAGTCACTTAACCCTGTTTGCCTCAGTTCCTCTATAAAATGAGCTGGAGAAGGAAATGGCAAACCACTCCAGTATCTTTGCTAAGAAAATCCCAAAAGGGGTCATGGAGAGTTGGACATGACTGGAGACAACTGAACAACAAAATGATCACGCTAAAAATTTAACAATCAACTCTCAGGAGAACAAAATGTTTGAGCCGGTTTCAGGAAACCCCTGGTTTGACCCCTCCTAATCGAAGTAAAGCCCAGGAGGGGCCCCATCTGTCAACGAGGGAAGCTGGTCCCTAGGGGAGAGGGCATGACAAGGATCATGGAATTTAGAGCTAGAAAAGAGCTTAAAGAGTGTCTCTGATCCAACCCCTTCCTTTTACAGTTGGATGTGAAGAGTTTTGCAAACCTCAAAGTGCTATATAAAAGCCAATTATTAATATTACAGATGAGGAAACTGAGTCTTAGAAATGAAACGGCTTGTCCAATTCCAGACATTTAGTATTTGGCAAAGCTAGGATTTGAATTGAAGTCTATTAACATCAAATCCAGCGCCCTTTTCATTAGGACTCGGTGCTTCAGGGTTTGGTGGAGGTAAGGAAGTGATGGTGACAGATGTGTCCAAGGTGTAGGACAATTCTGGTTAAGGAGATTGAGGATGTGGTGGGATTTGGGAGAGGTGTGCAATTCATGGACCACATTGGAACCTCTGTCGTCAAACTGGTCAGGTATATATAGCTGCTATGGTCAAAACTCCACAGGCAGAGAGTATCCTGTTCCCTTTTAATGCAGATTTAAAAACCAGAGATGGAATTGGCACTCATGAGCAAACACACTCCCCCTCAGTGTCCCACTGGAATAGGGGTCAGGGCTAAATTCAGCTGGGGCCCAGGGCCAGGGAAAGCTTCTGTCTCCTGTCAGGGCCCTATAACCTTGCAGCCTCCCAGGGCCATGACCCACGTGGGTTTAGAGCCCTGGGGAGTGAAGGGTGTGGTGGGGGAAGAGGGTCAGGCTCTTACTCCAGTGCCCATTTTCCACAGACTCAGAGCTTCCAGGAGCTGGAGGCCAAGCCCATAGGGCTGAGGAGAAGGAGCAGAAGCTTACACTTCGGAGACTTTTTAAATAAACAGAAGGGTTAGTGGAGGGGAGGTAGTCAGGAAGCTGTGGTTTGCAGCTCACACCGGTCCTGACCCAGCGTCTCCAAACGGCTTGTTCAATGTCCCCTGCTCAGTGCACCTGGACTGAAGGGAAGAGCAGGTCCTAGGCTGGTATCTGGGATCTGGGGAAACAGACTGGACCTTGGGAGGGACTGAGGGTGAAAAGTCTACTGTCCTAAGTGCAGTTTGTTCACTGCCACCCCCTCTCACAACACAAACACACACACACACACACACACACACACACACACACACCCTGTTCATTGTTAAGAATCACTGAATATTAATAAATCCAGTAAGTGGTAATGAAAAAAAAAGACATGCACATAAAAAAAAAAGAATTGCTGAATATTGAGTTATCAAGATCAAGTACAACCTTCTCATTTTATTGATGAAGAAATGGAGGTGAAATGACTTGCCCAGAGTCACAAGTTAATACTTGGCAGAGTCAGGGCTCAAACCCAGGACTTCTGACTAAAATCCAGGGTTCTTTCTATTATTCCATGTGTCTCAGTTTCCCTTCTTATAAAGTAAAGGTGCTACTCCTCACCCACAATGGACTTTTCTTGGAGGGAAGGAGAGAGGTCTATGGAAAATTGTGAAGATCTAGATTTCCAAAGCAGGGTGGGGTTGTCATTACACCCCTCCCCCAACTCAGATCTTGGGTCTGTCTCTGCTTGTGTTTTTTCTCTGGCCCTCTGGCTTTCACTGTTTGTGAGCGTCTATTTGTCTCTATTTGCCTGTTTCTGTCTCACTCTGCCTCTGTCTCTGTCTTTCTATCTCCATTTCTCTGTCTTTCTGGTTTTCTGTCTCTGCCTCTGTCTCTCTCTCTCTGTCTTTGTCTCTCTGTCTCTATCTCTGTCTGTCTCTCTCGTTTCCTCTGGCTTCTCTATTTCATAAATCACTCTGGAGATTTGGCCCTCCAGAGAAGCACAGCTCAGTTTGCTGTGTATTGCCAAACCCTTCCCCCCTCCCCCTCACACACACATACATTCCAAGGCTAGAAGAGGCTGCTGGAGGGGAGGAAGGGAGGAGGTGGAGCTAGGGGGCCAGGCTAGGCTCCCAGGCTGAGCTAATTAGGAAAAACAAGCAATGTCAGAATGAAAGGAAAAGAGGAAGGGGGTGGAAGGAAGAGAGAGGGGGCCATCTTAAGGAAAGAAAGAGAGCAACTGGTTTTTTCCAGACATCTCCTCTCCATTCTTGGGAAGGATTGGGGGGAGGGGAGGGGCAGAGGGTTGGTAAGCCTAAAAGGGTTTTCCAAACCTGGGGCTCAGAGAATAATGAACTGAGGCTGGGGAGAAAAGGGGCAAGGAATGTCTCCGTTCCCCTCCTCATCTGGAGCAGGTTCCTTTTGGAAACCTCTCTTGTCTTTATTTCCCAATCCCTGGTCTGTGTCCCAAGATTACTCAACCTCTCCAGCCTTAGTCACTATCCTTATCCCTTTTCATGTTTGGGAGGAGAGAGGCTAGTAAGTGAGGCTCTCCTCTTCCTCCGCCCCCTTTCTTTGACCAGTCCTTTCTATTCGTTTAACCTTCACAGCACTGGACGACTCAGAAGTCACCAGTGGAACGAGGGAGAGCAAACTGGAAGGATGTGAGAGTTAGGACTCCTAGGTTCTGTTCTCTCATAATTTCATAATCTCTTGAGGGGAGATGTCAGGATTAAGAAACGGAGAAAAAAAGGATTTATAGAGCATTTAATATATGCCAGGCAGTTTGCTAAAAGCTTTACAAATATCTCATTAACCCCCATAACAACTTTGGGAATTAAGTGCTATTATCACCATTTTACAGTTGAGTAAACTGAGGTAGGCAGAGGTTAAGTGATTTGCCCAGGGTTGCACAGGGTAGTAAGTACCTGAGTGCACATTTGAATTCAGGTCTTCCTGACTCCAGGCCCAGGGCTCTATCTATCCACTTCACCTAGCTGCAGATAAACCCAGGTCTGGCTCTAAGTCTAACACTCTACTTTGTGATAGATGTATATCTCTCCCAATGATCTAGTCCAGCCCTCTCATTTTAAAGAGGAAGACGCTCCAGTGGCTTTTACTTCCCAGAGTTGTGGGCCAGGGGCTATGGGTTGGGGGCAGTCAACACATTGGAAGGTTCCAGTGGCTCCCTAAATCACATTTCTGATTCTCCCCTTTTCTCTCTTCAGAAGCTGCTGATGGAAGTTCGACCCTTGGCGGTGGTGCAGGCACCATGGGGCTGAGTGCCCGCTATGGGCCCCAGTTCACCCTGCAGCATGTGCCTGACTATAGGCAGAACGTATACATCCCGGGCAGCACTGCCACCTTGGCCAATGCCGCTGGGAAGAGAGATGGCAAGGCCG